CCAATCAGATTGGTCGTAAGTAACTGTTGTATAAATGACTTTATGCAATCATAAAAGTGAGAGTATTACATCGTATGACTTTTACATCACCATATAAATTAGAATATTACATGACTATGCAAGCAAGAACATTACATTATAGGTCTATACAAGCAAGAATACAACATTGTATGACTTTATATGACTATATAAGCGAGAATACAACATTATAGGTTAATACTAGTGAGAAATTGGCACTGTAGTACAGTTACACAAGTGAGAATGAGACATTGTATGATAGAAGTGTACATGTCATATGTACATATGTCTTTATATGACATTACATGATGATACAAATTAGTACACAATGTTATACAACAATACGAGAGATAATACAACGATATATGACTTTATGCGGCTAGACAAATGAGAATATGACAGATGAAGTGAGATTTGACATTATACGACCTTATACAATGATACAGGTGAGAATATGACATTATACAATTACACAAGTTGGAATATGACCTTTATATGACTGCAAAGTGTAAAAACAAAAAGTCAGTGGGAGCTGGACCTCTCAGGGCCTTCTAAGCTTCCTAGTCGCATTCAGCATTCTAAGGAACATTTAGATGGCACCTGGATTACTTCGTCCTGTTTTGATCTGTATTAGATGAGACATTCTTGTTTAAAATTCCCGATCCTGTAAAACATCACTACAGCTTTCCTGCTCAAACCATATAACAGAAAGAGCAGCTCTCACAGCAAGTGCTTTTACTATAAGTGGAGGATCTTGTTTCTAATTCTACAAGTGTCACCATTTTCAAGACACGTTTTTAACAAAAAGACAGATATTTAAGGCAAAGCTGAAAAGGGAGGGCAAGAAGCAGGAGGAAGGAAGACAGAGGAGGGAAAAAGACTGAGGAAAGAAAAGAAAGAATCCCTTAAGAGTAGGTGATGGAATGAACGCAAAACTTTTGAGTATCTGTAAAGATAAACTGCACTCTTAAAAAAGATGCTTCTTCAAGGGTTCTACAAAGAACCATGAGCACTCACAGAACCATTTGCATGCTTAAAAGGTTCTTTGCATTGTGAAATTAATCTTCAGATTGATGGAGTTTGGTGGTGTTGGTGTTTTATGTGGCTCTATATAGAACCTTTTAAAAAAATGGTCCTATGTAGCACTGAATAGGGTTCTTCTATTGTTACAAGCTGACAATAGAAGAACCCTTTTTGGTGCTGTATAGAACACATAACACATCATCACCATATATTCCATCAATCTGAAGAACCATTTCACAATGCAAAGAATCTTTTAAGCATGCAAATGGTTCTTGATGATTCTATATAGAACAATTGCCTTTACTGAAGAATCCTTGAACAACCATCTTTTTCAAGATTGTGTCGAGGGGTAAAGTGAAAGTGAGAAAGATAAAGAGCTGAGAACCAAAGAATAAGCACAAGATTGGAGAACCTTAGCTAAGAAAAGTGTCTGGTCAAAAGGAAGAAGAAGGATACAGTGGAAACAGAAAGGAAAAGGAGCGAACATGAAAAGGAAAAGTGAAGGTACAAGAACTGCATCAGAAAGCAGACAAAGGAATCCAAAGTCAGTGAGTTCAAACAAGCACTGAGTATTTCGAATCTGTCAAGGAGAAAGGAGAGAAATTTCATTAGACTGGAAGACGAATGAGAACTGTGTTGACAGAAACTCCATTTAGCATCATGAAGAGAAAAAAAACACACAGTAGGACTTTACTGTAATGCTCTGAACATGTGGTCGCACCAAATGATAGAATCAATGCTCCCTGAAGCCAGATTGACAGTCAAGGTGTTGGGGCCAATGATTAACTGGGCCAATTCATTGTGCACTTTTGTCCATTTACAATACTAGGCTTATTTCATACTAAGGCTTATTATTCAGTGCAAACTGACTGAGTTAATCTTAGCAGCGTGCAGTAATAAAACTCTGGGCCCGCTGGTGGGTCCTGGCCATTTAAGGTGTGAAAGTGCTCAGAAGAAAGTTTAGAAGGAAGTCTGACCAGCCTTTTTTTACTCTTTAGAAAAGGTTCAAGCTGCAAAACTCAGATCAATAAACTTTAACAGATTATATGACTCATTTTTACATGTCATGTAATCTGCCAAATTGGCTTAAGAAATAATTTCACATTTAGTCCTTCAAACCTTGGCAACCTCCCCTGAGTGTTTTCAGGTTCACTGGCAACAGAAAGACTTGAATAGATGACGTTGCTGATTGGCGATATCCAGTTTGCCAGTAAAATAACTGAGAGAGTTTTGAATGCACCTGTTTATTCTTTCTAAAACAGAGAGTCATCACAGCCCTGATGGTTACTGTTCAGTGTTGTTATGAATGTGAATGACTAGCTGGATGATTGTTTGCTTTCAGTTTTTCAAAGAAATCTGCAGGGATATTTTTCCACACATCCAAAGTTCAGTCTTAGAAGTTGGTTGCATTTTCTGCTTCTCATGTCTAACAAGCCTATATACATTCAGTGATGTTGAGGTCTGGACTATGGTGACCAGTACATGTGGAAAGATGGACAGAAACACCTATGGATTTTTCAGATCTGAAGCAAGAGTGGAGCTTGATTTTCTCCTCTGTCTCAAAGATAAAAGCTTTAATTACTGTTTATCTGTTGGGGACAGTTTTGGTGGTCTACCAGTTTATTAGTTAAGATTTAAGATTTCTCATCACACTATGTCTGTCATTCTCCACCCATTTCTGCTGTCTGTATCTTTTGGCGTATTTCATGTTTATTAGTTTGTTCAGCATGTTGTAAGAGCTCTTACAGTTGAGTGAGAACACAAATTTAAAAACATGATAATACATGTATGTATAATTAAAAATGAAATAGTTAGAGTGCCATGGGCAAAAGTTTGGACATCCTTTCAGTGTGTAAACTTTTGAAACTTAATTAACTATTTACGCCTTACTATTGATTAAGTCTAGTTAGGCAAGTCAAGAATTGTCATTAGAAATCTGCTAATGACAATTCCAGAGTGTAATCAATTCTCTGACTCTTCAAACCTTCTGCAAACACTCAACAACCTTGGACTCCTCTATGCAGCAGGTTGAGAATCTGAAAATGAAGCTAATTGAGCCTACAAAGCAGAGGAAGGCTGTAAAAATATATCATAGTCTTTCCAGCTCTCAACTTACACTGTCCAATGTCATGAAGTGTCTGAACATATGCAGAACAACATCTAGATAAGTCAGAGACGTTTTGAAGGTGCTGTGGACTAATGAAGTAAAAATGGAGCTGATGGCCACAATCACCAAAGATATGATTGGAGAGAAAAGGGAGCAGCATTTGACGAAAAGAACACTTTGCCTACTGTTAAGCATGAGGGTGGATCTAATGTGCTTTGGGGTTGTGTTGCAGTGGCACAGGAGGCCTTGCACATGTTGATGGAAGAATGGATTTCACTAAATATCATCAAATTCTGGAAGCAAATGTGACACGGTCAGTGAAGAAACCGAAGCTGAAAAAAGCTGTCTACTACAACAGGACAATGACCCAAAACACACTTCAAAGTGCACCATGATTTACTTCAAGAAATGCAAGCAGAAGCTTTTGGAATGGCCCTCACAGCCCCCTGACATGAACATCACTGGAAATCTGTCGATAGATCTTTATCATGCTCTGCTTGTGGGAAGGCCCAAGAAAATTGCAGAACTAGAAGTGTTCTGCAGGGAAGATGGGTGAAAAATTCCTAAAACAAGAATAGAAATATTCCTAGAAAAAAAGGGAAAAGGCTATCTTGACTTAGTAGGGTGTCCAAACTTTTGCAAAAGCCACAATTATTATTTTATTTATGCTGAAATTTTTAAGTTAATCAGATATAAAATAATTGTGCATTAACATTTGCAGAAAATGGTAGTGTTTACACTAATCTGTTGCAGAGATTGTGTTCAGTTAAAAAATTTACAATATATGTATTTGGGTGACAAAACATTAGCATACAACTGTCTGTATGTGAGTTCTGCTTACATTCACACCTACTCTGCTTTGATATGTTTAATAATCATTTTAACTTACCAATCAAATATTGAATGCTGTTGCTATGTTTAGATGGCTATTGTCATTGTGGTTTCTGTAATAATAATAATAATAATAATAATAATAATAATAATAATAGGAAGAAGAAGAAGAAGAAGAAGAAGAAGAAACATATAATTGCATTATGTAATTTATATAATCAGAATAACTGTTTAATTCATGAACAAATGCATTCTATTTTACTGTCAGTTGTCTTTTGCCATAGCTTATTCAACTAAAGTGAAATCATTAAGATACATTGATAGAGGCCTCGGTTTGATTTCAAAATATAATTTTTTTAGCATTATGCTTTGATTAATAACACAATCGTGAAAAATGCAAGTGATCTGATATATAAACACGTATAAACCTTGTTGACCAATTGATCCAAGATTCGATAGGTGGGCTTCTTACCCCGGGTAGGGGGGCATCTTTTCAAGACTTTATTTAATTTTTTTAAAATTGGCCACCATTTCAGTTTATTTCCCCTGAGGCTGTTTAGACGTCATCATCCACAGATAGTGTTTAGCTTTACAGCACATTGTGTTGTTTTTCCCCACTTTTATATGAGCTTATTGAGAAAATTCAGGAACTGCACTTTCAGGAAAAAGGGTACTGAACTGTTACTGAGGTGGTACCCCTCTTATCACTGGGGTGGTACCCTCAAGTACCATATTCCATTGCAGTTCTATATTTTGAAGTCGTATGGACTCCTTGTCTTGTACCCAGCCTTTTTATTTGATTGTATGTGTGTGTGTGTGTGTGTGTGTGTGTGTGTGTGTGTGTGTGTGTGTGCTTTAATAAGGCTTTGAAAAGGTACAAATACACTGCTTTACCCTGGGAAAAAAACTTATTTAAGATACACAACCTGGACCTTAAATTCACTGGTCCACCTTTACATTGACATTGACCCTTGATGCCTTCACATTCAAACACAATCTCCAAACCAGAAAAAGCAGAGCAGAAACTGAAATAGCATCTTTATTGACACAACATGCTGCACTACTTCAAGTATCATCATGGTGTACAAAAAAAAAAATAAGACTTCATGCGGCACTGAGGTTTCATCATAGAGAGAGCAGGACAGAGAAGCACCTGGTACATCAGGAACATGCTGACGGATGAACTGACCAGCTCCCATCAAAACACACACCACAGCGGCGAAGGACGAAGAAGGAAACGTGCAGGTGTCCCCGCCGGACGAGCGTGCGTGTAGAGAAAAATACGGCTTTAGAAAAGGAAAAGAAGACAACTAAAAAAACACCCACGGTGCCAGATGCATAGGCTACATTTACTCCATCATTAAAGTCCATGCATTTTGGAAGTTCAATACAAACAAAGTTTTGACCACATTGTCTTCTTGCGTTTGAGGTAAAAACATGTAAACATAGTTTCACTGTAAAAGTCAAAAGTCAAATAACCCGAATCCAACAAACCGGTTCATATAATAAGAAGTGAACATCAGTATATACACTCAAAAATAGAGCTTCGTTCAATTGTGCCACACATTTCTATTCAGGACAGTCAGCACAACTGCGGTCAACATCAACAAGTCAAACAGCCCCTCGGTGGATTTTTTGAGTGTATATATGTGCACGTGTGACGCACATATACCATATAAAAAGTTTGAAGTACAAAGAGCTACGCGAACATTCATAAACATCAATACATTCTCATATCTGGCGCGTGCAAAATCCATTTTCTCCATCAGTCCCTCACTTCCAACTTCCAGTTTTCCTCCACAAATCCCAGCCTCTGTTGGACGGACGGGGTTTTGGAGTGTCCTCGTGAACCCCACCGGAGCTCGGCATGCGCGCGCCGGAACTAACTCAAGCCGATCATGACCGCCTCCACGTCTTTGGAGGGTCTCCGCTCCCGCACGAGGAAGTTTATCATGCTCTCGGACTTGATCATGAGGTTGCAGCCGAGGAAGAAGACGCCGAAGATGACGGTGAGCGAGAGCACGCACAGCACCGCGATCTGCACCACGCGCGTCACGAACAGCCTGCGCTCCTCCTGCTCGAGCGCCAGCGACCCGCCGCCGCCACCGCCGCCGCCGTCGCTCGCGCTCACCTCCGTCCCGTTCCCCGTGCAGCAGTCCACCAGGTCCAGCAGCGCGCCGGTGCGGTTGAAGAGCGTGCCGTTCATCGTGGGCAGCCCTCAGTCCATGCGCTCGCGAGGAGGCTCGGTCGCTTTCCGCAAGCAGAAGTTAATGAAGTTAAAAAGATGTTCGTAAAGACACGCGCGAGTCGCTCTGCAGCTGAGGTTTTCGTAGCAGAATGAAGCAGAATGAAGCGCTCAAAGCGGGAAAAAGTCACTCAGTCCACAGAGAGACAGAGAGGCGCGCGCACTGGACGTCTCATAGGCTCACTGTAAGTGCGCGTGAAGGTGTGTGTGTGTGTGTGTGGGGTGGGGGGTAGAGAGAGAAAGAGAGAGAGAGCGCGAGCTCAGTCAGCTGAGCCCTCAACTCTGATTCCAACTCTTCACAACTTGTTTCATTGTAAAATGCTCTCTTAAAATAGATGGTTCTTCAAGGGGTCTTTTGTAAAAGGAACGGTTCTATTTTGAAGAATGAGTTCTGTATAGAACTGTTTCGTGCTTAAATGGTTCTAAGCATGGTGAATTGGTTCTTCAGATTGATGGAGAATGTGTTTGTATGGTTCTATATAGCACCAAAAAGGGTTCTGCTGTTGTTACCGTGTCAAGCTTATACACTCTTAAAAAAGATGGTTCTTTAAGGGTTCTAAAGAAAGACAATGGCTCTATATAGAACCATGAACATGCTTAAATGATTCTTTGTATGGTGAATTGGTTCTTCAGATTGATGGAGAATGTGTTTGTATGGTTCTATATAGCACCAAAAAGGGTTCTGCCATTGTTACAATGTCAAGCTTATACACTCTTAAAAAAGATGGTTCTTTAAGGGTTCTAAAGAAAGGCAATGGCTCTATAAAGAACCATGAACATGCTTTGATGGTTCTTTGCATGGTTAAATTGTTGTTCAGATTGATGGAGAATGTGTTGTATATGGTTCTAAACAGCACCAAAAAGGGTTCTGCTATTGCTACAATGTCAAGCTTGTACAGCCTTAAAAATAATTCTGCAAGGGTTCTTTAGAGAGAAAATGGTTCTGTATAGAACCATGAACATGTTTAAATGGTTCTATATGTATCTATATTTGTTACAAGCTTGACATTTTAACAATAGCAGAACCCTTTGTGGTGCTATATAGAACCATTTTCCAAAAGGTTCTACGTCAAACCATATACAATACATTCTGCATCAATCTGAAGAACCATTTCATGATGCAAAGAACCATTTAAGCATGCCAGTGGTTCTATATAGAGCTTGTGGTTCTAAGTAGAACCATTCCCTTTGCTAAACAATCCTTAAAGAACCATCTGTTTTAAGAGAGTAGCTGCACAATTAACATTCAGTTGGCTACTAGTTTCATCCACCATAAAAAACATAGAAAAATGTAACTTTAACCTTGCTGTGTTCAGCAAATTCCAGTGCAGATTAATTTACAGCTCCTTCACTATTTGTCTACTAATTTGCCTCAAGATGTGTTTCAAAACAGAACAGAAGCACATATCAACTATAAATCCAACAGAAGATAAATGTAGCCTATTTATTTAGCCGATTTATAGTTGATATGTATATGTTCAAATGCATCACTTTATTGCAATAAATATCTGATCAGTATCAGACGATACTGAAGGTTTCACTATCGGTATCAGTATCTGAAAAGAAAAATCGTGCCATCTCTACTCAGGGGCTGTGTGTGAAATAGCCAACAGTCTTAGCAAAAATGTTCTACATAGTAACAAAAAAGATTTTAAAGTAACCTTATTCAACAAGTTTTCCCTCACAGAGAAGAACCATTAACCATGCAAGGAACCATTTAAACACACATACACATTATCTAAACTGCTTATCGTTCTGGGTTGCAGGGGGTGCTGGAGCCTATCTCAGTGGTCAATGGGTGGAAGGCACCATTTAAACATTCAAAGCAATTTCAGAGTGGATAATCAGGAGAGTCAGGAAATTCCCAGTGGTCCCAGTGTTTCGGGCTGGTTACTTTGAGCTAATGTATAAACGCATGTATATAAGCATAAGAACACTCAGACAAACTATAAATGTTAAACCTAAATGTATTTAGGGGTTAAACCAGCGACCCCCACTCAAGTGGTACAGCTCTGGTTTTCTGATTGTGAGTCTCGTACAGTGGACAGAAGTTAGATGAAGCTGAAAGTAGCTTCTTAGTTTCATTTACTGTTCCACCTTAATTAGTGTAGCAGTTACATTCTAATGCCTGTATGGGGACTAGTGTATTAGTGATACGCTATTTAAGGTGGAACTGAATTAACATGCCTAATTCAGCACGATTGTATGAATTTACTATTGTGTGATACAACAAGCAGGCCTCTACAGAGATTATTGCTTATTTTATTTTTGTTACCAATGTAGTAATTTTCATGCATGAAACAGGTGAAGCAGCAGGAAGAACTGCAAAAAAACAAGTTGGCATTGGAAATGAAAACACTTTATTTATCACAAGCTAGCCCTTATATAAATAAGAGCAAGAAATTAAGAAGATGAAAGTAAATACAGTACGAGTTTGGCATGGGCTGGTCTACATTGTGTAACTCCTGGTCTGAAAACATTCCAGCCCTGTTTTAAAGAGTTCTTTGTCACTCAAAATCACTGTGCTGGGTTGGTGACAACCACTAGGTCATAGCGCTGTCTATGACATGGCACACAACTTTTGCCTTTTGTCACCTTTTGCCTTCCCATCACAACAGCCTCTAAAAACTTCTCAGTGGTCTCCAAACCTCCTGCTGATCTACCTTATTGCAGGTTTCACCTCTGACCCAAATCTTATACACCTTAGCCTGTTAATTAAGGAGCCCTGTGGATACTAATTACTTGATTGCCTAATGATCTACTGTGGTAGACTGGGGTCAGAGTTCAACTCTACAGCTTTGCACATTTCCACGACTGGTGATGGTGACGTGTTGTGGCCTTTAGCGTTGTCGAATTCAAAATGTATCAAAGTTCCTCTTAAGCTTACAGCTTTTCAATCATTCACACAGTGTACGCTGCCATGAAATTAAACCAACCCTGAAAATACATATAATCCCACCTAGCTTTGAAAAGCTAAAGGCATGCACCAGTGCGCACATGTGGTGGTGGGAAAATGTCACAGAGACAGTTCTAAATTAAAAATGAGAAAAAGGTAATTCTGGCAAACATGTTGGAACTTTTTTTTCTGCAAAAATGTTGCAGAAAAGGTTATTCTAGTGATCTGCTCCTTTGTAAATTAGTGAATGCAGGATACCTTGATGGACTGGTGACCTGTCCAGGGTGTGGCCTGTCTTCTGGCCAATGACTGCTAGGATAGGCTTCAGCACCCCCATGACCCAGAAGAATAAATGGCTTAGATAAGAGCTCATGTGGTCCCAAAATGAGTCTCACTGAGCAGCAGACTGTGGATTCTTATCATTTAAAAATAACAGGCTTTAACTGTATTTTTACAGCAGATTTATTGAAAAAGGTGAACTTCCTGTATATTACAGATATATTCTCTTATTAAGAAAAAGACGGAAAAAAATCTGTATTCATTTATGGTCAATGTCTGTAAAAAAACCCTTTTTCACAGTATGGTGAAGTAGTTTTGCTCTTGCATCTGGAGTTTAATATTAAGCTACTAGCTTGCTCTCTCTGATTTAAGTGCAAGCTCATGCAGTCATGAAATGCGTCTCATTGTGCAACAGACTAATAACAGTTTGCATACTGAGCTCACATAATTATTTTTACACATATGCTTCCCCTGAAGAGTGTTTTTTGTGATATTTAGCCATTGATTCGATCCTCCAAAGCAGGCAATATAGCAACCACTGTGAACCGTTACAATCTTAAATGTCAAACTCTTTAATTATTTAAAAAAATGACCCATCAAGCATATTAATGTTAAACTGGTAGCTTGGCTACAAATATTAAAAATCAGATCTTAAAGATGTCACTTGATGATTATTAACCAACGTCACAAACACACACACACAAACATTTTCTAAACCACTTAACCTTCTGGGTCGTGGGGGGTGCTGAAGCCTATCCCAGCAGTCATTGGGCAGAAGGCAGAAAACACCCTGGACAGGTTGCCAGTCCATCACAGGACATAACCAACATCAGATTACAAAATAAAATCCTAAATAATATTTTAAATTAAGAAAAAAAAAATCAATGTTTCAGTGAAGGTTGCTTGTTTATGTTACATAATGCAAAAGGGAGCGGTCTACCAAAGCAGCTTTGTCATGTCATCAGAAGGGAGTCAACATGCAAAATCTGGTTGTTCTGTTCTGGTGGTACCATTTAACAATAAGTATACCCTTATAAAGAGTTTATAAAAGGTTTACAATAAGTTTATTAACAATTACTAATTAATTCATAAACAATTAATAAATACTCAATAAGCAAAACACATAAATATAAAGGGCAACAGTGAGCTGTTCTATCTGATGAATATGAATGTGTGATTAAGCTGACAGGTTTAATACTGATTAACAGAAAATGCAAAGCAAGATCAGTAACCAGCAACATCTGAGGTTTTACAGTACAAATGAATGTGGGCTCACTGTCTGGCAAGGCAAAGCTCTGTATTTATGTATTATCACTGCTTATTAATTATTTTTAAGGTGTTTATGACCTAATCAATAAGCGATAACAAACTCATTTTAGACTGTTCATAAGCCTTTTAAAAGGGTAGCAAGTGGTAAGAGTGGTACCGCTGTTGATGTAAATGGTAGTAAGCTGGTAGTAAACATTAGTTTGTAAATAAACTAATAATAAAATCTTAAAAACTCTTCAACTTACCCAAAGCAGGTGCATTTCACACCCTGCATTCAATTTACACCCTTTTAAACAGATACACAACTAAAGAAATAATGTATATTTTACTATTCAGGCCTAGGCTGCAGATCCAAATGGGTGTGCAAAGGATTATGGGTGACAGAGGACTTCATAAGATACTCTGGTAATGTCCTTAAATGTAGGCTGCATTTCTCGGCTATTGGATCCTTGTGATTGGAACAGTGTTTGTTGGGGGGGCAGACTAAAAGTGTAGCTTACCTAGACTGCAGCTTAGCTTTCGGATCACTTTGGTTTGTGTGAGGCAGGGCTGTGGTACGGAGCTGCTGACCAAAAATCCGGTTGATTCGAGGGATTGCTTGATGTCAGTGTCTTCCAGTACGGTCCTGCCATAGGAAACAGAAAAGCAAAAACATCTCTCAATCGCAATGATCAATATTGTTCTTTATTTCACAGCTAATGGTAAATTCATGCATAGGCCTAC